CAACATCCACAGGCGGCACTGCCCATCATTATAACCTACCATTACCCACCCACCACTTTCCTCAATCACAACTACTACCACCACCCGACATTATTAACTATCACCACCATCCTCAATCATAATCGCCACCACTACCAATCACTACTAGCTACTAGCATGAACCACCATCATCAACCAAAACTACCACAAATCACCGTCTTTAGTCGGTATTCACCCGTTAGCCATCACCACCAACAACTATCATATTTTTAAAAATTATATATTTTATTGATAGAATATTAGATTAATTAATATTTCATTTGAATTTTATGTTTATTAATTTTCAAATAAAGATAAATTTTATACATTCAGATGTTAAAAATCAAACAGTCTTAATTATTTCTATTCAGATCTTAATACACATCTTAATATATTCAGATGTGTATTCATATTTAGATGTCTTAATCTTAATACACATCTTGATATTCAAATGTGTATTCAGATTCAGACGTCTTAATCTTAAAAAAATTAAATGAGGCCTAAATAAGTTTAAAAGTATTTAAAATAAGTCAAAGTCATAAGTTGGGCAACCCCAACATAGTTAAAAGCTATTCATATTTGACCAAATATTTTACTATTATATCCCTTATAAGTTTATATAATTCGAAAATAACCTTCAAAATCCCATAATGTTTCTTTTCTCTTCTTTCTTTACTTCACCATTCTCCTTCAGTGTCTCCATCTCAGCGTCCGGCCTCTCTCAATTCCCATTCTTCATGCTTGTTTTTTCATCTCCATCTCTACCCATGCTTGATCACGTATTTTACAATTATATTCCTTTTAAGTTTATAATTATACAACAACACTCATCAAAGTGGAGTATGAGAAGGGTATGCGTATGTAGACCTTACATCCACTTTGTAAAGGTAGAGAATATTCTTTATAAGTTTATATAATTCCAAAATAATCTTCAAATCAAAATCTCACGACGTTTTTTTTGTTTCTTTAATTTACTTCATCATTCTCTTTCTGTGTCTCCATCTATGCTATGCGTCTGAACTCTCTCAATTCCATATTCTTTAGGCTTGTTATCTTTTCATCTTTACTTTACAATACAACAACAACAATTGAGTAAAATCTCACTAGTGGGGTCTGGGGAGGGTAGTGTGTACGCAGACCTTACCCTTACCCCTAAGGGGTAAAGAGGCTATTTCCGAAAGACTCTCAGCTCAAGAGAACGAAAAGACAAAAGTAGACAATATTAGTATCACCATAGAAATCATAAGAAAAATAGGAACAACATGAAATCCAGAAAAAAAATGCAAAGCAAAACCGATAGCTAGTAAATAGGTTCTGCACTAAAAATAGTAAGACACAACATTGCACTAGTTATCTTAGACAAAAACCCTATCAGACTAGTCTTAGAAAGGTATTAGTAAGGCAAGACTCAACTACCTCCTAACCTATAACCTTAATACTCGACCTCCACAACTTCCTATCAAGTGACATGTCCTCGGAAATCTGAAGCCTCGCCATATCATGCCTGATCACCTCTCACCAATACTTCTTAGGCCGCCCTCTACCTCTTCCCGTTCCCTCCACAACTAGCCGCTCACACCTCCTTACTGGAGCATCTGGGCTTCTCCTTTGAACATGCCTGAACCATCTGAGCCTCGCTTCCCGCATCTTGTCATCAATGGGAGCCACGTACGCCTTCTCCCGAATATCTTCATTCCTAATCTTATCCATCCTAGTGTGCCCGCACATCCACCTCAACATCCTCATTTCTGCTACTTTCATCTTCTGGATATGTGAGTTCTTAACAAGCCAACACTCAGCCCATACATCATGGCCGGTCTAACGACCACTTTATAGAACTTACCTTTGAGTATCGGTGGCACTCTCTTGTCACACAGGACTCTAGATGCTAACCCCCACTTCATCCATCCTATCCCAATACGATGTGTGACATCCTCGTCGATCTCCCCTCCCCCCTGGATAACCGACCCAAGGTACTTGAAGCTGCCTCTACTTGGGATGACCTGTGATTCAAGCCTCACATCCACGCCCACTTCCCCCGGGTCAGCGCTGAACTTACACTCCAGGTATTCCGTCCTCGTCCTACTCAGCTTGAAACCCTTAGACTCAAGAGTCTGTCTCCAAACCTGCAGCCTCTCGTTAATACCGGCTAGCGACTCATCAATCAGAACTATGTCATCGGCGAATAGCATGCACCATGGCACCTCCCCTTGAATATGGTGCGTGAACGTGTACATCACCAAGGCGAATAAGAATGGACTGAGTGCATAACCTTGGTGTAACCCCATTACAACCGGAAAATGGTCAGAGTCGCCTCCTACTGTCCTAACTCGAGTCTTAGCCCCATCGTACATGTCCTTAATCACCATAATGTACGGGACCGACACACCTTTTGCCTCTAAGCATCTCCAGAGAACTTCTTTAGGAACCTTGTCATACGCTTTCTCTAGGTCAATAAACACCTTGTGCAGATCCTTCTTCCTCTCTCTATACAGTTCCTCCAATCTCCGAACAAGGTGTATAGCTTCTGTAGTAGAACGACCCGGAATGAATCCAAACTGGTTGTCGGATATAGACACTGTCATCCTCACCCTCGCTTCAACCACCCTCTCCCACACTTTCATGATATGACTCAGTAATTTGATACCTCTATAATTATTACAACTCTGGATATCACCTTTGTTCTTATACAATGGAACTACCGTACTCCACCTTCACTCCTCCAGCATCCTCTTCTCCTTAAAAATAACATTAAACAACCCAGTCAACCACTCCAAACCTGCTCTCCCCACACTCTTCTAAAATTCCACCGGAATCTCGTCTGGACTTTACAATGTAATTCACAATTTTTCTAAAACAAAAATTGTTTCGTGCAATCTATTTTTAGTGAGTTGGCATATTATCAAATGAAATATTGATACTACTGTTCCGATAAAAATAGAAGGGAGTAAAGTTGTTGCCATGTGACCAGGAGGTCATGGGTTCAAGCCGTGGAAACAACCTCTTGCAAAAATACAGGATAAGGCTGCGTATTATAGACCCTCGTGGTCCTACCCTTCCCATAAAAATGAGAAAACTAAAAAGAAAAGTTCGTCACGTGTACTAACTAATATGAAATTGACCGTTCCTTAACTATAGCCTACCATGTTCGTCTTAATTTATTATCATAAGAAATTCACATGAAAAATAAAAATATAAGAAAGAAACACCAAGAAAATAACATGTCAATATTAATCCACCAAAAATTTATGTTTAAATCAATTTATAACTAAATATATTATAGTAATTAACTCCTTTACAGTGTTAGCAATTTTAAGGATATTTCAGTCTTTAACATAAAAAATGCTTATCAGCACCTTTTCTAATGGGAAAATGCATAAGTACTCCCCTGATCTATACGGCTATACCCGAATTCCCAACTACATACTTTAACTTTGCGGAATTTTTATTACCCCCTAAACTATTTTAAAGTAGAATAAATTGTACCCTTGAAGCTGACGTGGCAGAGTGTGTATTTCACTCTCCTTAAGAGAGTGAGAAGAAAAATTATAATTTCAATTTCTAGAAGAAATTTACTTTTTAATTTTTTAAATTAAATATATAATTTCTCACTTTTCCTTTTTTTTCTTTTCTTTTCCTTTGTCTTTTTCTTTCACTTCTTTTCTTTTCTCTTACAGTTCCGTCGCGACTCTTCTGGCTTTTCTTCTTTCATTTATCATGCTAATATGCTTCTTCTTTCTCTTCCTTTCACACACAATAACACTTTCAAAAAGATTTATTCATATACAAAGCAAAATATTCTCAAATCTGAAAAAATATCTATCATCGGAAAATCTTTTTTATGCCGGAAAAAATGGAGACAATGGAATTTTAACCGAAAAAATCTTTTTTCTAACCCAACAACGCATATATACTCAGATTATTCACCATCACTCGCCTTTTAATTTTGATTACGTCGCCCACAAATACCATCCAAAACCCTCTACCACAATAGCCAGTAAAGAGCTTAAGCCAAGCATAACAACAACAAAAAATGAAGTCACTGATTGAAGATATTAGGGTGAATCCTTATTGTTCAGCTTTGTTAGGTGATAGAAATCAAATAGAGAAAGGAGAAAGGAAAAAAGAAAAGAAAAATGTACAAAAAATGAGGAAGAGAATAAGAAATAAATAAAAATTTAATAAAATACCACGTGTCAAGCGAGTGTGGTTCACTGCCTAATAGAAATCTGGTTGCGGTGTTTTAAGGGTGAATTTATTCTACTTTAAAATAGTTTAGGGGGTAATAAAAACCCCGCAAAGATAAAGAGTGTAGTTGAGAATTCGGGTATAGGACAGGGGTACTTATGCATTTTCCCTTTTTTAATCAAACACATCAATTGTTTATTTTTAATTCTAGCACTTCTACCCAAACATGTAACTGCTTATTCAAAAATTTAGCTTCGGCACTTAAAAAATGCTTTTCAACACAATTGGTGCTTAAAAGATACGTAGCCAATCCAAACGTGCTCTAAGACTTACATATAACAATCACACCTTACTAGGGGCAAGGACCATACTTTAGAGCTAATTAAAAGAATCACTCTCTTTTTTAATTATTAAAGGAGCTTGACAATAAACCCGTAAATCTTTGGGAAAAACTTATGCTCTCTGATCTTTTGATAAACAAAGTAGGGGTAGTTGGCGAAGTGACCTACTTTCCAACTTGAGTTGGCCAAATGATCTTTAAGTTTTAGTTATTGTAAGATTGACCTTTATGCTTAATAGTGCTTAAGTGGGATTATAAAGTGAAGGGGGAAGTTTAGCCTTTGTCCCTAAAGTTTTACTTATTACACTTTGACCCCAACCTATATAATTCTAATATAGGTTGGGGTAAGTCTATAGAGCCGGCGAAGATCCTATAGAAGAGGAAGGTCAATATAGCGTGTGTCCAAGAGACTCGGTGGGTAGGATCGAGGGCGAGGAATGCAGACGACTATATGATGTGGTACTCTAGAGTCATGAAGGGTAAGAATGGTGTAGGCATTTTGTTGGATAGGGAACTTAGAGAGTCTGTGGTAGAGGTCAGGCCGGTGAATGATATGTTAATGTCTATTAAGTTGGTGGTTGGTGAGTGCATCCTAAATATCGTTAGTGCGTATGCGCCGCAAGCGGGCTTGGATCAGGAGGTCAAGAGGCGTTTCTGGGAGGGGTTGGATAAGATTGTGCGTGTAGTATTCCGCCTGCTAAGAGGTTATTTATAGGATGAGATTTTAATGGTCATATTGGGTCGACTGCAGACGGCTATGGCGAGGTGCATGGTGGCTTCGATTTTGGGGATAGGAACGCAGGAGGATCTTCGCTGTTGGATTTCGCAAAGGCATTTGAGCTGGTGATTGCTAACTCTAGTTTTCCAAAGAGCGAGGAGCATTTGGTTACTTTTCAGAGTATGGTGGCGAAGACTCAGATTGACTATCTTCTCCTTAGGAGGTGCGACAGAGGACTGTGTAAGGATTGCAAGGTTATCCCGGGTGAGACCCTCGCGATGCAGCGTAGGCTCTTGGTGATGGACGTCAGTATGATGAAGAGGAAGAAGAGGACTGCACGAGGTCGACCGAGGATCAAGTGGGGAGCCTTGACTAATGATAAAGCTCAGGAGTTGGAAGGGACTCTATAGGATATGGGATCCTGGAGGATTAGTGGGGACGCGAGTGTTATGTGGTCGACAACGGCGGATTATATGCGGGAGGCAACGAGAGAGGTGTTGGGAGTCTCAAAGGGTTTCGCTGGCGGGCACAAAGGTGACTGGTGGTGGAATGAAGTGGTCCAAGGTAAAGTGGAAACGAGGAAGGAGGCGTACCTGAAGTTAGTAGGGAGCACATGCGAGGTAGAGAGGAGTGCGAATAGGGAGAGGTATAAAGTATCTAGGAAGGAGGCGAAACTGGCGGTCACGGAGGCTAAGACTGCGGCTTTTAGTCATTTGTACGAGGAACTAAGGGCCAAAGGCGGGGAGAAGAAATTATCCCGGCTGGCTAAGGCGAGAGAGAGGAAGGCTAGGGATCTGGACCCAAGTGAGGTGCATCAAAGACGAGGACGGTAGAGTATTGATGGGAGAGGCCCAGATTAAGCGGAGATGACAGATTTACTTTCATAAACTTCTGAATAAAGAAGGGGATCAGGATATTGTGCTTGGCGAGTTGGGGCACTCCGAGAGACACCGCGATTTTGGGTATTGTAGGAGCATCAAGGTTGGGGAGGTCGTGGGAGCTATGCGTAAGATGAGCAGGGGCAGAGCTACCGAGCCTGACGAGATTCTGGTAGAATTTTAGAGGTGTGCGGGTAGAGCAGGTCTGGAGTGGCTGACTGGGTTGTTTAATGTTATTTTCAGGATGGAGAGGATGCCGGACGAGTGGAGGTGGAGTACGATGGTTCCATCATACAAGAACAAAGGGGACATCCAGAGTTGCAACAACTATAGGGGTATCAAGCTATTGAGTCATACCATGAAAGTATAGGAGATGGTAGTAGTAGTAGAAGCGAGGGTGAGGAGGACGGTGTCTGTATCAGACAACTGGTCCGGGTTAATGCCGGGTCGTTCTACTACGGAAGCTATCCACCTTATTAAGAGGTTGGTGGAACAGTACATGGATTGGAAAAAGGATCTGCACATAGTGTTTATTGATCTGGAGAAAGCGTATGACAAAGTTCCTAGAGAGGTTCTTTGGAGATGCCTAGAGGCTAAAGGTGTGTCGGTTGCTTACATTAGGGCGATTAAGGACATGTATGATGGAGCTAAGACTCGAGTTAGGACAGTGGGAGGCGACTCTTAGCATTTTCCGGTTGTTATGGGGTTACATCAAGGATCTGCGCTCAGCCCATTCTTGTTTGCTCTGGTGATGGATGCACTGACATACCATATTCAAGGAGAGGTGTCATGGTGTATGTTATTCGCTAATGACATTGTTCTGATTGACGAGACACGGAGTGGCGTTAACGAGAGGCTGGAGGATTGGAAACAGGCCCTTGAGTCTAAGGGTTTCAAGTTGAGCAGGACGAAGATGGAATATCTTGAGTGCAAGTTCAGTTCCGAGCCGAGGGAAGCGGACATGGACGTGAGGCTTGGATCGCAGGTCATTTCCAAGAGAAGCAGTTTCAAGTACCTTGGGTCGGTTATCTAGGGGGATGGGGATATCGACGAGGATGTCACGCACCGTATAGGGGTGGGGTGGATGAAATGGAGGTGGCATCTGGAGTCCTATGTGACAAGAAAGTGCCTCCGCTACTCAAAGGAGAGTTTTATAGAGCGGTGGTTAGGCCGGCCATGTTGTATGGGGCCGAGTGTTGGCCAGTTAAGAACTCACATACCCAGAAGATGAAAATAGAAGAAATGAGGATGTTGAGGTGGATGTGCGGGAACACTAGTATGGATAAGATTAGGATGAAGGTATTTAGAAGAAGGTGGGCGTGTCTCCTATTGATGACAAGATGCGGGAAGCGAAGCTCAGATGGTTCGGGAACATTCAAAGGAGGAGCTTGGATGCCCCGGTAAGGAGGTGCGAGTGGTTGTCATTGGTGGTACGAGAAGAAGCAGAGAGCGGCCTAAGAAGTATTGGGGAGAGGTGATGAGGCGGGATATGGAGAGGCTTCGGATCTCCAAGGACATGGCACTCGATAGAAAACTGTGGAGGTCAAGCATTAAGGTTGTGGATTAGGAGGTAATTGAGCATATTTAGTCTACCAGTGTGAGGCTAGGCTGATAGGATTTAGTCTTAGACTGCTAGTGGTCGGTGTCTGTCGAATTTGGGGATGAAATTGGCGATATATTGGATTGATAATTCATTCTAGGTGGTATATTGTATAACTCCTTCATCTTAAGTGTTTTCATCTCATATTCTTCGTCATTATTAATTTGGGTTTCTGTAAATTTTACACGCATAATGCTCGACTACGATGTACAATAGACCACTGTTAGAATAGATCACTTATTCACAATAGACTGATGGGAGATTATATATTAGTATGCAGTCTAATATCTGGTGAATGGGTTGAGGGGCCAACTAGTTGGAATTGGAATTACTATACAAAGGTTACAGTACCTATCCGTATACCTAATGTCACGACCCAAGTTCGCCCTCCGAACAATCGTGACGGCACCTGGTCTCTACGACTAGGTAAGCCTAACAATTTGCAGAAAAGAAACGAAATACGAAACAATGAAAACTGAAGATAAAACAGAATAAAACGTTTAAGATGCCGCTCGGCATAAACCAATACATGTTCTCAAAAAAAATTGAAACCACTCCCAAAACCCAGAATCGCATGAAATCACAAGCTGAGAAAGTTTACATAAAGTTCTAACTCCGGAATATCCAGTCAACAGAAAGTACAGAAGACCTAAAGCTAATAGAGGGAATAAAGAGAGACTCCTCGGTCTGCGGACGCGGAATATAAACCTCAAAGTCTCTAAAAGGTCGCCTTGCCTCGCTAACGGTATGGCTGAGCCGATGAACCTGGGTCTGCATACAAAAAACATGTGCAGGAAAGGGCATGAGTACACCACGGCGGTACCCAGTAAGTACCAAGTCTAACCTCGATTGAGTAGTAACGAGGAACGTTAGGGCCCTACCGGTCATATACATACATACATACATACATACATACATACATATATATATATATATATATATATATATATATATATATATATATATATATATATATATATATATATATATATATATATATAAAGAAATGAAATAATATGAAGTAACACAGGATAATAAGAATAACAACAAATACAACGGAGAGAAAGTCACAGAAAGAATGTAACTCCACATAGAGATAGCAATCGGAGATCTACCAGGATACCATCCTGTAGTCCCCAAATGTAAATATCCAGCAACCGGAGATCTACCAGGATACCGTCCTGTAGTCCCCAAATGTAAATATCCAGTGGATCTCCTGGGTGTCGTCCCATAGTCCAACTCATAGTGCACGGGGGATCTACCGGAATACCAATCCGTAGTCCCCAAATGTAAATACCTAGTACTGGGGGAATCTACCGGGTGAACGTGTAGGGGGATCTATCGGGATATCGCCCGTAGTCCCAAAGTAAACACACAGCAGCAACACGAAGAATATTCAATTCAATCCAATTTCATACCAAGGTAAAACAGGTATTTCTAACCTAGCATGCTGCACATAATTCAAATAAAGCAGTTTGAGCAAGTAAAGCAATTAAGTCACTTAGACATGCTTCCCTAAGCTAACAGTAGGCTTAAATTGCAATTAGTATAAACAGGGAAGAAAAACACAGTTAGAGTTACTTAATGAAAATAGGATTTTCAACAGTTAGCACATGTACGCACCCGTCACCTTACGTACAAGGCATTTTATATATCAACAATACCAATCCTAAGGGGAGTTCCCCCACGCAAGGTTAGGCAAGCCACTTACCTCGAACTAGCTCAATCAACTCGATATCACGTTCTTGCGACGAGTACCCGACTCCAAATGGCCCAAATCTATTCAAAGTAATTGCATAATGTAAATGTAACTTCAAGTAACTAATTTAACTAATTAATTCAAAGCTAACACGCGAAATTAGGAAAATCGCCCAAAAAGTCCCCCGGGCCCACATCTCGGAATTGGATAAAATTCGCAAAACTAGCATCCTCACACTCTTACAAGTTCATGCATACCAAATACATGAAAATCGGACTACAAACGACCCCTCAAATCCCCAAATCCAAGTCTCCAATTTCAAAACCTAAACCCCTAATTCTAACCCTTATTTTTCATAATTTTTTTGCCAAATCAGTAGAATAATACCATATAAACGAGTTTGGGTTCCAAAAATTTTACCTCCTTGAAGCTCCCTTGAATCCTCTCTCAAAAACCTCCCAAAAAGCTCAATTTTCGGATAAAAATGATGAAAGAATAGGCTAAAATCGCGACAGAAACCTTATATAGGTTCTGGCCCAGGGTTTCCGCACCTGCGGCCATTTCCTCACACCTGCGGCCGCAAGTGCGCATCTGTGAAAATTCACTTAAATGCACTGGCCGCACCTGCGCTTCATTTACCGCATCTGCGGTCTCGCAGGTGCGATAATGCAACTGCACCTGTGACTCCTGATTTTCCTTCCTCTGGCCACACGCTTCTGCGGGCCCACACCTGCGGTCCTCAATCCGCAGGTGCGGTTATGACAACACTTCAGCAGCTGAAGCTGCTTCCAAATCTCCTAATTTCTTCCGTCAACCTTCCGAAATCATCCCGAGGCCCCCGGGACCTCAACCAAAAATACGAACAAGTCATACACTACTATTTAAACTCGTACCAACCCTCGGAACACTCAAGACAACGCTGGAATACCAAATCACCCTCGGATTGAAGCCTAAGGATTCCAAAACTTCCAATTTCCGCTTTCGATCAAAAAGTCTATCAAACCTTATCTGAATTACCTGAAATTTTGCACACACATCCCAAATGACACAACGGACCTACTCCAACTTCCGGAGTTCCATTCCGACCCTGATATCAAAATCTCACTATCGAACCGGAAGGTTCAAAAATTTGACTTTCGGCATTTCAAGTCTAATTAAGCTACGGGCCTCCAAAACACAATCCGAATACGCCCCTAAGCCCGAAATCACCCAACGGAGCTAACGGAATTCCAT